CTGTATCTTCCCGACGTGCCTAGCATGTGGAAAGAACCACGGCAACACAAGCAAACACAGACACAGACACACAAATCAAAACAACATACTCGGTAAAAGGGGAACTGCAGAAAACTAGATGATGCAGTAGAAAGAAAACCATCTCAAAAACCTAAGTTGAAAGGTATACATAGAAACAGCGACGGTCACATGAAGTGCCGAAAGCCACACTAACCTATCAATGGCAATAGGTCTTTACGAAAAAAAGCGTGTACATAGATTGTTAAAATCATTTACTTCGTTAATTGACATATTGATAAAGGAATCGATTTAGAAGTAACATGAGATCTACCACTAAAAGTTAGGGGATTCTAAGCGAAGATAAGAGATGACTGCTCTTGGCGCATTTACCTTATCACAAATAAGTAACGATATACCAAAGGAAAGAACAAAACACGACAATACATAATGTCTTCGGATACTGATAATATCACAACACAGTCCTAATGGGATGACAATCTGCTCAAACACAGTGCTAGGGCAATCGCAGAAAAACGCCACATGGCATCTCTCGGGAGAACTGCAGAGGATGCGCTGATCCCCGGTTCACAAGTGGGCTGGAGGATGGACTCCAGTGCCGGCGCCACCTCCGTCCAAAAATAGATCTTCTTGGGTCTGAGGTTACTGCTGACGTCCTCTGCGGTAATGTTGGTGTTCAGGGTTAGGTACTGCTTTGTGGTAGGCTGTCCGAAGCGAGGCACGTACAACGGCCAGTCGGTCGGCAGATCAGACGAAGACGGTAGCACTGGGTTGCTGAAACAATTATGGTATCATGTATACAATACATAGACCGATCCTGAATGCCCACTGCAAAGTTAGCAATGGCTCTCGAACGTTCACAGCAGACGCGTCGGTGATAGAACAGAACGTGTTTGATTAGGAACGGTCTATTAGTATTATAATTATAATTAGCTGTTGGTCCAATCGGAGCTAGAGTGGCTGACATGACAAGAAAGGTATAAAAAGGATCACCAGGAGAAAAGTGCCAGTATGTCGTGCAAATATCTGCTTTAACATCATATTTCTACGATGCTGAAATTAAGTAGCTAATATGATAGCTAATATTAAGTAGCTAAATTCACAGCCTGGTTACCAAAGGAGTAATCACTGGGATATAGGCATGTTGGCTGCTCAAGGGCTGTGTTACACCTAAAGGCGGTTTACCGGTTATGCAAAACAAACAAACAAACAAACAAACAAACAAACAAAAAAACAAACAAACTTACCCCGTCTTGGCGAAGTTAGTCCAGTACTTGATCATAACCCGACTGAGCTCCTCTTCCTCCGCGCTCAGACTCTCCGGGTCGTTCCCGCGAAGGTCCGGGAAGAGGAAGTACAGCTCCTGGCCGTGTGAAGCCTCCACGTACCCCGGCAGGGTGGAAAAGGACGGGCGGTGGGTGAAGAGGTACATGTAGGTCTGCTGGTTACGCTGAAAAAACAGGGACAGGCATGTTTAGTGTGGATGGTGTTCAGCACCAAGGACAGGCATGTTTTCCTGTGTGTGGATGGTGTTCAGCACCAAGGACAGGCATGTTTACCTGTGTGTGGATGGTGTTCAGCACCAAGGACAGACATGTTTACCTGTGTGTGGATGGTGTTCAGCACCAAGGACAGGCATTATTATGAATTTTCTATCTACCTCTCTTTGATTTGTGGTGGTATCAATTTGATACTGTCTTGTAGCCACCAAAGGATCGATATCGTCTTGCAGACTATGCTGTGACTGTGTAGCTTGTGTGCCTACTACCGTATGCTAGAATGTAGTAAGGAGGTTAGAAGGGCTTTTGAGACCTTGAATGTACCGACCTGTGAGTATAGGTTTGCCTTCTGTACGGTGTTGGCCAGATACTCGAAATCCCCGTACATCTGAGCGAACGCTCGGCGGAGGACTTCAGGATCGGTCTCCTCCCACACTCCGTACTCGTACATTGCTGCCTTCATGACCATCTAGTTTGTAATAATGGTTTATTCGTCATTCAACACTTGTACAGAAAGGCAGGCTCCATTAAATGGAACCTGAATTGTTCTGACAATTACATCGGATTAATTAATAAAAGGTTTGCACACATTAAAATCATTATACGTCATTGATTATTAATATGAGATAAGTTAAAAGGTCATTCATTTAAAATAACAGATGTACACACAAATTACAGGCAGGATAAACAATTCTATAAACAGTAGGATATATATGTATAATGCGTACTCTGAAGTAAAAGCATCAAGAAGCATCAAGAAGGAATTCAGCATCCGAATTTCAACTTAGAAACAAAGTCCAACGTGCGATCTCGGCAGCCAAAGCGACATATTTCAATACGAAGGTCAAAGCCCTTAAGAAAGAGGACGCTGCTCTATGGCACCAGCAAATCAAATCTATGGCTAACTCAAGAACAGCGGAAGCAGTTATCCACGTGACTGATCTAGCCCCGGTTTGTGTATTCAAATACGGAAAATTATCACAAGCTATGTGTTACATCGCAGGCCGTAGGTCTTGGTCCCTATCAGGCTTCAGAAGCGGCTGGAAAGAGTAGAAATATATGCCAAATAGATAGATAACGTGGTCCACTAAAGGAGTACAGTTTGCCGTAGTTCTTAGATGACATAATATGCTTGAACAATTCTCCATTGGTTATGTGCGCATGTTTCTGTTCTACTTGTAGGGAATTGATTAAAAACCTACTCGTACCTGCGTGTTTTTGGGGTAGGTTGGAAAGAGAGACGAGTTCAAGTAGAACTGGAAACTCTGCCTGTCGGTGATGTAAGAAGCGGGCGCGCCCTGCCCCAGCTGCCCCCCTCCCTCGTCGTTGTTACACCCTATGAGCAGCTGGCGGCTGTCCAGAGACGCTGACTGCAGGTAGCGAGCCGGTTCTTCCGGTAAGAAATCCCCGTCTATCACGGGCAGCCAGACTCTTCTGGTGAAGTTGCCTGACATGCGAGATGAAAATATAGATTTTGTAAAATTAAATGTATGTATGCTTTACATTATTAGACCTACAAGGTCTGATGTTACATGCCATAAAATATAGTCACTTTATCCTATTCAGTCTAGCATTCCATATTCTCTTATTTCTAGCATGTCTGGCTAACTGTTCAAAAGTTACGTGTTCACAGTCCATGAGTAGGGTTGTCACCACCGATATATGTTAGAGGGGAATGCAAATAGGAGCTATAATGTATGTATTTTTTATATGTAAGATGACTCCAGGTTGGGGATTCATTAATAAACAAACAAACAAACAAACAAACAGTCATACCGGTAAACAAGGCGGCGGCCTGAGTGAGCTCGTCGGCGTCCATGTCCCTGAGCGCCGCGACCATGCCGGCCGGGTCCTCCGTCCCGCAGCCGAGGTACGCGCACAGCTTTTTAGTGGCTTCAAGAGGGTCGAAGTTGATGGCTCCGGGCGTCATGGCGACGCCGCTCTGGCAGATAGCCCGCTGGAACAGGCCTGCCGTCTTGGGGGATATCAGCTGCATGCTGACCGCCATACCCCCTGCACTCTCCCCGAAGATTGTTATTCTAGAGGAGGCCAGAGTGTTCAGGAAGTAATGAATAGATTATGGGTCCCCTCCAGCGCGATTTCCCATCTTTGTATCTTCCAAACACTTTTTTAACTGTTTTAGACATGGTAATAAGGTTGCATGCAATGTGCGCACACACATGAACAGCCACACCCACCTGCCCGGGTCCCCGCCGAAGTTGCGGATGTTGTCCTTGACCCACACGATGGCTGCCCGCTGGTCCATGAGCCCGAAGTTTCCCGGCGAGTTCCGGTCTCCCGTACTGAGGAACCCGAACACGTTCAGACGGTAGTTCAGCGTCACCACGATGACGTCACCTCTGCTGGCCAGCCACTTGCCGTTGAACGACAACGCCGTGTCAAAGTTGAACCTTCAGGATAAAAAAAAAAGTTAGCTGATTAAAAGCGTCTTTTTTATCACGATGTTTGTAACGAGAGGAAAAAAATCAGTGAAAATGATGACAAACATGCATCAATAATGTCATCGGGTTGGTGAATCGTTGAATAGTAAAGTTCTTTTATTCACAACAATTTGTTTAATATTAACACGAACCTTTGTATGTCACGATTGTTTTACGTTAGGGACTATAATGTTACAGTGACATCAAGCTTCAGTGTACAGTGAACCATTAACACCTAGCTCCAGTAAAACAGTCATATTAGCCGTGATGAAGATGGCAAACAGTTGTCGGAACGTCGGATCCTGTTTAAGAAATGGTTGTGAATATTCAATGGCAAGCATGGTAACCTGACCAGGCCAGGTAGCCAGCCCATCTCTTTCCGTAAACCCTAAGAACATACTTAGTACCTTCCGCCGTGAATGTAAACCATGACCGCCATTGACTGAGTTTGGTCCGAGCCGTTGAGGACGGGGACGTAGATGTTCAGGAAAAGGCAGTCCTCCGACAGCGGTCCGTAGTTTGTCCTAGTCTGCATGCAGGAGTTTCCGAACGTGGACGCGTTCCTCACGCCTTCCCACGACAGGGCGGGCCGGGGCGGCTGGAACCGGAGCGGTCCGACGGGCGGAGCCGCGTACGGGATGCCGAGGTATTCTTCCACCGTCGAGCCGCCGAACGCGACCGTCGCGCCGGACACACTGCCCGAACGCGTTGTCCGTGTCGGGTACGCGTCCTGGGCGGTCACACAGAGCAACAGCCCCGCGAAAACGGCGCTTAAAGATGCGGTGGGAGTCATCGTTAGAAGCACTGTCATGACACCTGGATTTATGTGACGTAAATCAGACCGCAGGGTCAACGGCCTTGTAAAGTTGTAGGACAAGGAGAGACTCAGCACGTAAACACAAGTGGCAACGCCCACAGACTACCGAGGCAAAGGAGCTGACAACTTCATGAACTGCATTCACTGACAACTTTGCACGTCAATACGCTTGCAACAATGCCACCTTGTCAAAACTGTCTGCAGATTTGAACAAATCAGTAAGCAACTTTGTTGTAAGACTAATAGTTGTGTTAGTTGGGTATGTATACCAAAGGCCTGTGTATCTTTACAATCTCTGACAATGATTGATAGAAAGATACCACATTCTTCCACGGCAGAGCTATCCTGCGGCAATACTACCTGTCCACAGGTAATCTCCAAGCGGATCCTACGGTGGTAAACCATTGCCCCAAAGGAGTGCCCATTATATATTAGCGAACGAAGAATCGACACTTGGGCTCCTTTGACAGCCTTGCCAGCGTAGGATCTGCTTGGAGATTAGCCCCAAGGTAACGCTGCCGCGGGAGAATGACTTGTCATCGCCGAGTCGATCGACCTTGGTCAACGCGTCAGGAAATTCCTGAGAAAGGTCGACGTATGGGATCTTGTCAGTCATGCGGCGCGACAAGGCATTGGTGCGCCCATTGCCTATCCAAGTGTAACGAGAGCGAAATATGTTTAGCTGACTCCGCGAAGACGGTCAGCACACGAGCTAATAATTAACTACTGTCACTGTTCCAAGCCATCCATCAAGTGTCAAGATGGGCAGGGCCGTAGGGAGTAAAAAGAGAGGGGAGCCTTTGCTCAGTGGGGCAGAGGGTAGATGCAGCTGAGAGGAGAACATCTGAATAAAGGAGCTAAAGCCCGGCACGACAACACCCAGCGTCTGTTTCCTTAAGCTTCCTTCTTACACAAGAAGATTCTGTGGGGCCGCCTGTATCCACTGGCCTCCTGTAACCATTCGCCGCCGCAAGTGGCCAGTATAGCTATAAATTATAATAGACTTCTCTTGCCCCACAGAATCTGCTTGGAGATTACGCTTAGCCTAGATGTCGGACTGTTCTCAGGGCCAATAGCCCCAAGTAAAACCCTGCTCAGGGTCTAACTGAGGGAGGTTGTGTTAACATTTCCTTTGTGACAAGTTGGCCCTGGAGCCGAATAGCTAGCCTGTATCATGGCCCTCGTAATTTAGTCTGACACCTAGATTAGCGCTGGGGCCGAATAGCTAGTCTTTGATTATAATTGTCAACAGGACCAGGCTATGGTACGCGCTCACCTGGAGTACAGCGCTACAGTGTGGGCAGTGTTGGGTAAAGGTTAACAGTTGAAGTAGTACAGTAGCAACGTTTATTACATGGGTACGTGGTCAGAGGTGGCTGTAAAGAATAGAAATTGGCCGAATAGACAGGGCAGATAGAGCGGCTGTAGTTCTTCAGCGTACTACATGTAACTTAGCCTGGGTACCATCCGGATTTTCGCTACGCAACGCTTGAAAAAATCAAGCGTTGCGTAGCGAAAATCCGGGATGGTACCCAGGCTACATGTAACTCCCCGGTATGTTATTTTCTGTTCTTTCCAGCAGTCTCTGAAGTGTATAGGTTGTTGGTCACACACAGCGACAACGTTGACTTTTCTTTCATCTACCTACCTACCTACCTACCTAGTCCCATGACCGACACTGGTCGTCGGGGGGACAAGGCAGACTTTGCAGCAGGAATGTAGCCAGGTCCTCCTGTCTTGGGCTGCTGTCAGGAGTTGTGGGACGGTGAGGGACGTCCAGTCCTTGATGTTGTCCAGCCAGACTTTCTTCTGTCTACCTTTCATCTATCATCAATTAATTACAAACCCCGATAATCGGAGCCCCTGTTACAAAAGTCAAGTAAAAAATGTACTAGTCTTATAGAACGTTACCCGTGACGAAAACCAGCTGCAAGCCCTTAGCTTAGACAGTGAGACAAACCATGTGGCCCAGTGTCAATGCTCCATTCTAATTGCACCTCTTCTTGAGTCCAGTTTAATTTTTCTGCCCGTTTCCGGGCATTGTACCTCCGCATCCTTTTTCTCGCTAGTGCATTTCTTCTCTCCCTTTCTTCAGGGGTTTAATAACGTTTTGTTCTTGTAGTTCCTGTATTTCCTGACACGTGCAGCCTCTCTGGCCTTATACACTTCGCCTTCCTCTGCTTTCTTCCTCTCTCTGTACGCTCGTTGGATCTCTGCTCTCGTCTTCTACGTTGAAAAATGAAATAAACACCCTAATTAGCTTGAATGTTCACGTCAGCTATATACACTGAAAAAAACACACCGCTAAGCCACACATAAGTATGCCGTTTTGGCACATCTTTAGTTACTTTAAGTAATATTTACGCATGATGAAATATTACATGTATTTTTACGCTACCTTTCCGTCTGTCCGTAACGGTACGCAGTGGCAAATCTTGTTTTTGTATTTCCTGTATTTCCTAACGCGTGCGGCCTCTCTGGCTTTGTACAGGTCCCCCTCCTTCGCCTTTTTTCTCTCCCTGTAGGCTCGCTGGATCTCTGCTCTTGTCTTGATTTTCTACAACAACAACAACAACAACAACAACAACAACAACAAAATATTCAGCACATCCGTGTAGATATGTAAATATGGTACTAGTATATTTGGGAATGCATCTACAGCAGCGACGCCTGTGCTGCAATGTGAACCAGTCAGAATTGCGCTGAGGAAGGTGACAGACGGTCGGTCACCGAAACGTCGGCCGAATAAAAGACTTTGTTGTGTAAAATAGTCTCTTTACTCAATATCTATCACGAAAGTTAATCTGAGTTATTAAATTGCATCACGAAATGACTAACCATGTTTGATTGTTCCAAAAACGATCTCTTTGTGAGAGGAGTGAAGAGGTCATCTACAACAAGGCGCACCATGCACCAGCCGTCTATCAACCGGGACGGGGGGCGACATCGACTTCCAACAACCGTTGACGAACTACTAACGTCACTCGTGGTCTGTGTGATTCGGGACAATATGTGTGTGTTTTTGTGACTGTGTGATGGTGTGTGTGTGTCCGCGTGTGCTTTTGTGCGACTGACGATGCATATGTGTGTGTCTCTGTGTTAGTATGACTGTGTATGGGTGTGCGTGTAATATTGGGACCAATATAGGGCAGAGCGACAATTGCAACACCATATATATTTTTCAAGTTCTTTTATATTTGCATTAGATAAATGTAAGCATACATCAAGAAGTGTGCAGCCTTCTTTGTACGTTTATACCCTTACAAGCTGCAAGGCACTGTGCACAATACTAGTACGTTAAATGCTGTAGGGAGGTCCAGTGTCCATTGGTTTGTTCTGACTTTATAGGGTCACACTTATCTTCCCCAGCTAGCCTCCGTCTGTACAGGGTGTCACGGGGATGTGCTGTACGCTTCTGCAACAGCACCCTGCTGATCAAGACGTGTACACTTGTGATGCAATTGAAAATTAAAAAAAAATTGTTATGACTTATTCCAAGAAGTTTGACTATTTATTAATACAAAACGCAGGAAATGGGGGAAAGTTCCAAAGTTATTTCAGTAACCACCTTTACGGTCATTTAAAGGCAGACTAACATACATGCTACGTTTACACGTGTGATGACATTCAATGATTGCAAATTAAAACAAAATCATTGTAACTTTGTAGGTATTGACTATTGTTTTATTGTGCTATAGTTGTTGAGTAGAAAATCACTTGAACATCACCATATTATCATGACTCTTTTGTTGTGTGCTAACCAAGATGTAATAACTTGATTGATGTACAAAAAAAAAACAACTTTGTTCCAGTCTTCAATAAAAAGCCTCTAAAGTTCCTCACGAAATCTGCTAGGGCACCAAAATCTATAGAGCATCTTCTAGACTCCAAGAGCTATCTGTCACCTCAAAATCATATTGAGAAAAGTCGCTATGTACTGCAGTAACCGTAAATTCACAATACCAGCTTTGTATTCCTGTGGTTCAGCAGCATTTTTCGGGCTGGAATTTTTTTTATTCCCCACTAATTTCTTCTATAGGCTCCAAGAGCTATCTGCCACTTCAGAAGCATATAGAGAACATCAGATAAATCAACCTGATGTCTCGGATATTAAAAAAAACATTATGCATGAAGCTAGTCTTCTACCATACCCTACTTTTAATCCATCATGTTCTTCCTCCTCTATCAAAACTGCCATCTGTACATTTTTGGAGCCTCAGTATTTCTGCATAGCTGTCTCTTTATTCTTCACTTGATAACTGCCCTGCTCCATCCTGGCTGATACTACAGGTCTATGGACACCTCTTCTCTGTTCTGTCCAGCCTGTGCCAGTCCGCTTGAAACTTCTGACAGGAGCTCAGCAACTGAAAAAGAAAGTAGGTTTGTTGAATCCAAAGTTGGTTGAACCCAAAATTACCAATTTCAATTTCATAATATGGTCCACAATCATGTAATTGTGATACTTCCCTTATCCTTAACAGGCTGAGTATGCTTGACATAAATGTACACTGTAATTACAATCTTTAAAGAGATTACTACATTGTATTTGGTCATTTTGGTGCAATGCTACAAACACTGTTAGAGATCAAGCATTTTCTTTATTCTTTTCTTTCTGGGTCAACATGTCTGAATCAACTCTGTCTGTTGAGAGAGACTACGATCAGAATTCTACCAGATTGGATCTGCAGTTTATACCCATGTGCTGTATACAGATACTGTGTTCCAGTGTTAATTACCGTTAGTAGTGTCAGAGTCTTGTTTGTCACTCCGAGGACTTGAGGCACTTGTAGAGGGCTCTTGCACTTGTCCTGAAAACAGAGTTTCAGAAGAAAATAAAGTTTGTTCAAACCAGCTCCACATCTGCAGTAACTATGAACAATCATAATTATAATCTTAGGTACTAAATGCATTAAAACTGAGCATCTTTTTGCAATATCTGTTGACAGAGACTCCAATCAAAATTCTACCAGATTGGATCCACAGTCTCTACCCTGACATGTATATACATGTAGTGTTAATTACCGTTAGGAGTTTCAGAATCTTGTTTGTCACTCTGAGGACTCGAGGCACTTGTAGAGGGCTCTTGCACTTGTCCTGAAAAGACAGAAAGCATACTTGTTTTCATTAGCATTTTGAAAAGACATGCATTTTCACAAGGGAAATTTGCAATTCAGTATAAACTAAGCCCATACCTGAATCTGATGATGTATCCTCTTTGCCTTCCTCAGTGACTGTCAAAGAAAAAAAAAGCTTGTTCAAACAAACTCCACATCTGCAGTAACTATGTACAATCATATCATCTTAGGTACTAAATGCATTGAAACTGAGGTTCCTTTTGCAAGAGTGAATCATCATCATCAAATTAATTTTGGTTGTATGTAACCCTCATTGATGTTCCGTGGTGCTCATGTATAATTTCAGTGGTGCCAAAGAATCCATACGAATTTTACGGAATACAATTGATCCATTACTTGGAAACGATCCTTGGATCTACTAATTTGGTGATCCAGACACAGGTCAGAAAATTCTGTATCTGTATCTGTATAGCCGGTATAACTGCCCTTCGGCGTACCACACCAGCTTCGCAGGCACGCAGCGCGGCGGCAGCTAGCTATATCACACCGAACGACTTGTTACACTCAATCTTTGCACATTTAGTAAGGATCGCATGTTTCCAATAATGAATTGTATGTATTCTGTAAAATGGGCATGTTTCTGGTATTGGATCGTATGTATTATGCAAAATTCATATGAATTCCATAAAATTCGTATGAATTCTTTGGCACCCCTGAATTTGTACCCTAAAACAGCTATCATTGGGTACTCACCACGGATTACTATGTCGTCCATATGCTTGAGGATAGCCTTCAGCTTAGGAGTGCCAAAGTCAGAAGGTCTTCGGTACGTCATTCCATCCGGTAGCCCCTCAACAACTATCTTTCCCTCGCTGTGCATCCCATATGGGAAACGTTTCCTTTTGGAACGAAGTGATGGTATGTTTTGCACAGCAGCACCTAGAAGTTACAAATGTATCAGTAATCTCAGTTAAAGCTCAGTGTGTGCATTAATTGTAATGAAAAGTAACAACAATGCAAATTAAAAAAGATTTTAACACGTAACTATGTCAAGACAGTAGACTGCATGCATTTATTGTAAAAACTAAATCTGAAAGTGGAACACGTTTCATATATTATATATTGTCAATGTACTTTACACGTAAAAAATCTAACAAGTATTTAGCATTGAACATACAGTAGTACATTTTGTAGTAAGAGATTGTACAAATGTATGCAGTTGCCAACAAGAGTTCCACAATCTCATGTCTTTGGTAACTATCATTTCTTTAACTTATGAAATGTCAGTCAAAATTAACTCAAACTCATCCAACATCCACCTACAAATGTAATTCAACTGATGCAGCCTAGGCTTGGAGAGATCAATTCTAACAAAAGTTCTTACGCCATTTCTTGTTCATCTGTTCTCGGAGTCTTTCCCTTAATTCCTCTGTCTCCTCCCTTCCTGTATTCGCAGGAAAAATTGTTTGCATTCGAGGTGAGTTGTACAGAAAAAATTGCATGCATCTTCTTGCTATATGCATGCCTGTTGCCTTATGTGAAGCAGTGCAGAAAATGCAGCAGTCAAGATAGAGTCAGGGAGAAGTTCACAATAAAGAACAAAACAAGAAATTCAAATTTCACAGGGTTAGATTTCTTGTCTTGTCAGTTTTCTTGATAACTCACTTTTTTCAGCTGAAGTTTCATTTGAAGAGCTGGGCTTGAGAAGTTCCTTCCCTTTTGGAGTTCCACAACTTCTTCTCTTCTTTGTGCTGTGGTCGTAGAATTCCACGAATCCATCCCAGCCACAAGTGTGTAAGTCTGTCACCTAGTAACAAAAAAGGATTATTCAACGGCTTCATATTGAATGAAGACCTTTATTGTACACACATACCCAAAATGATACCCCGGATGAAACTGCTTCTCGCCGCCATATGTAGCCACGTAGGTGGCGCTTTAGCCAGTGTCATATAGTGGTGAGAAACAGTACTCAAGTCTGAAGCTCTGAGGAAGGTGTCTGTCAGAAACTTAAGCAGGTGAAAGACATTGCTTGGTTTTATATTAAGGAAAACTCCAATATCATAGCCCTACCAGTATGATGAAATTATTTTCAGAAGTAAATATCATTAGCATATAATAAGTAGGAGCTGATGAATGAAAAAAGAGGTATAGTTTTGGGTGTGTAGGTGTGGGTTTGAACATAACTATAGCTTGTACAGGAAATATAAAAACTACTGTTCTACTGCAGTGCAATACTAAGGAAAGACACCAGAGGGCCAAAATCAAATCATTTGGTTAAGACCTAACCACATAATAAAAATCTGTAGCATATGAAGTTACATTTGTATGTTGTTACACCGCAAACACACCACTACAAACACTACCAAAAATGTATGAAAAATGTTAACCATTATGGCCTGTTATATGTGCTAAACTTATACATTGTACATTGTATCAATATTACACAATTGACTCACTGTTTTTTCTAAGACCTTGTATAACTCTCGGGCTGCCTGCTTCTTGCCTCCAGTGTCAAGTTCTTCAAGTGATGGCTTTGGCATGTCTTTAGCTTTCTTAACTTCTTCTTGGAACTTCTTGAGAAATTCAGGGTCCTCCTTCTGTAGTCTTCTGTATTCCTTCGCGGCATCTTTCATCACATTGGGCCCACTTTTCCCTGTAGTCAACAGAGTGCTATGTTAATATTTGTGTGAACTGTGTAAAAGTACTTGTCGTATTGGTCATACTAAATGTAAGATGTAAATTGATGCTTACATACATGTACAAATTCTGCTGGTTTTTTGTAGACTAGTAAGTAGATTTACAGGACTTGCCTCATTCATGTAATGATTATGGCTGAAAGATAAATGTAATGACCAAAAGGTGGTCTTGCTGACTCAGAATCTGAAGGTCCTGGGTTCGAATCCCTAGCAGGCCCCAGTGTTGTGTCCTTTGGAGCGACAATTAACAACTACTTCCTCACTCAACTCACTGAGAAAATGAGTGACTACCAGTAGATTTCATTAGGAAAGTACCTCTCGGATGGGATGTAAAGTCGAAGGCTCTGTTTGAGGATAGCCTCACCTTGAGCATGTTAAAGGTATAACACAACACTTATCAAAAAGAGTAGAGTCCTTCCTGGTGTGAGTGGCTCAAACCAGTCCAGTCTTACTTACTGTACAGAACTGGTTCATATTACGTGCAGTTAACCTGGGTATGAAAACAAAGACCTGCTTGGCTTCATTGTAACAATTACCTTTCATGTACCAACTCTTGAAACAGCTGAGGACACTGCACTGTCTCTTTCTCAAAACGATTTTCGGTTTCTTCGGGGGTGGTGGCTCTCTTTTCTCTTGCTCTGCTTTCCTGTTCATGTTGTGAATCCAGTTCTGCAGGTGAAAAAAAGATACTTCACTATTAAAGCATTATCATGAAGATGCATTGGCAAGCATAGCTTTCATAACCAAGTTCTAAACTGACATGTCTACAAATAATAACTCAAGAGATGAATAAAAGCAAACCTAAAGCATGAAAAGAACACCTTCCCAGGGACCTTAACATCTGACCTTAACCACAATCCCAGGGTAGTACACTGTTAGGTGGCTTAGTTCAAAATTTGAAGTTTTATCACCTATCAGACTATTTGAACCCCTATCAGCTATACATGTATAATCACTATGCAGTGTACTTTTATTTACGTATATCTTACCTTAACATTTATCTCTGGGAGCTTGGTGACCTCAGCCACTTCGGCGATCATGATCCGACATTTCAGGTCTTTGCAGTTTTGCATGCCTTTCTGGTAGTACTGGTGAAGTGTTGGGTAATGGGCAGTCATGTCGGTACGGCTCCTTTTTCTAGTAGTCATGGAACCAATAACAAAGGAGCAACATTCTGAGCAACAGAGCAGTGTGGAAATGCAAATTTGGACACTTGTTTTTTTCAGAGACAACATGTGGATATAGATGTAATTGGTAACAAGAAAGTATACATTTGCAAAGCAAATATCACATGGCCTAGCCCAACGAACGACTTCTCTGTTTATCCTTACTCAAACACATCCAGATATATATATGGTGACCGGTCCCTTCAACTCTGTCCTGCCACTTGCAACATAAAATACTGGACCAAATTCCCAACTGGGTGTCTGCTACAGCACCAGTTACCATGGTGACAAACATCTGGCACAAGTCATTGACCTTATGTGTTTGGAGAGGAAGAAACAGAGCAGAAACAATGAATGAAACAGAGCAGAACAAGTACTGAAAAATGAAATGTTTTGCAGATTAGTCACTGACCTGGGTCTATCCACAGCGACACGGAAGTTGCCTCTGTTGTTTGAGGTAGTTGGAAATGTCTGAGGTGAGTCGTCTGATGCAGCCTGCAACATCCACAATTGAGTACTTGGGGTGAGAGCTCTCTTGGGCAACTCAGCAAAAAACACTTAACTTAGAAAGCCACTTGTTTTCTTGTCTTTTACCCTGGCTGAGATAGTCAAGTTGGTTAAAAACTCCATCTATAGACCGTAGGCCACATAGCCCACTACTGTAGGGGGGGGTTAAGTCCACTGGTAGTGTTAGCACTCAGAAAACCTAGTAGAGAAAACTGTATGTTGCATAGATTTGGTTTGAACTCCGGTGAAAGGCAAACACTATACCCCCGAGTCCATTGCACCAGTAAATGTGCAATAACAGTGTGGAAATATAACATGAATCCCTCCTCACAAACTAGTAGCTGAGGCAGAGTATGCAACAACATGTACATGTATAACCTGTGGCCTGTTTGGTGTTGAGGATGAAATTGTGGAAATTAATGCAGTAAATGGGATTAGGATCAAAATGGTTCTGTTATACAGCCTCATACATGTACCATGTTTTACCACCCAATGTATACTGGGTCAGAACCCTGTCAATCAACTGAAACCGTATCTCCACCCACCCACTCACAAGATTGATACAAACCAGAATCAATACTTCTATCCCAGCAGAAACAATGAAATAACAGGCTTTGCAATAGTAAATGTGGTCAGAAGATATTTAATAACAACAATCAAATATAAACCAGTCTGTCATTTGAGTTTGACAGCAGTTTTCATCAGATAATCTATCAAAACCACATAGGATATACATGTATGCTACACTGTATGCATAAGGCTGTGGAGTTCATTTGCAGATTGGCAACGAGGGTAGAGAACACAACAAACAAGTAACTTTGGCAGCTTGTGGCCAAAGATTAGCTTTAAAGTTTAAGGCAACAATAACTGAATCTGCTAGTTACATGTCAGTGTAACACGAACTATAAGTTTCACAAAGTACAACGTTTCAGTAGAACGTACTGCGCCTGCACGAAACCAAGATTTTTATGGTAGGATATATGACAGAATGTGCCATTTGCAGACGATAACTTTTCCAACACAACACTTGCAAACTACAGATGGAATGCCATCCTTAAATACAAGAATACAACCTTAAACAAGACATTTACTGATGGAAAGGGTTGTGGTTCTTTGAACGGGAACTAAAGCTGTGATCCACTGTTCATTGTACTTGTCAGGTGGCCTTCAAATAATGTTCCTGAACACCTGTTACAGCATACCACTGTGGGGTAAAGCATTATAAATAAATAAATAAATAAATAATAATGAATTTTTTAAAAAGAGCTAGGAAATTTCACAGTAACGTACAAATGAACCTGTACTGTATACTGTACTACATTGCAATTCTTCTCCTTCATGACCAGTGGAAAAGTAGCTCTCCAGTGAGCTATGTATTACAACATTGTGTTTTACACTGGTTCGAAATCACCTCCAATTTCACTTTCTTTTCCTGTCTGGTCTAAACCTGGATCAGGTTGACTCACTGCTGATCGTGATGACCCAAATCAGAATCTGAAAGGTCCTCAGAGTCATACATCTGGTCAAGAGCTGCCCCTAGTGCTTTTGAGCACTCCTGGCTCTGCCTGTCTGCAGATGTAGCAGCCTGTTGAAGGTATCTGTGGACTGAAGGTCTGGCCGTGTGACCAGTCATGCCCATGATGACTCTCACCCCAAATCCGGCATCATCTAGAGCCTTGATGGCCGTGAGCCTCACACTGTGGTTAGTGTAGATTTTACTGAGCCCCGCGGCTCGGGAGATGGCTCGCATCATCCCGCCGAGCTTGTTGTGGCCGACGGGTTCGCTGAAGTACCACCAGGAGTTAACGCCTGGCTTCCATTGGAGATTCGGCCGCTGGAAAAGGTACCCGCACCTGCTTGGCTGCAGCTTGCTCACGTACAGTTCAAACACTTGGACTGGGCAGGGACGTGTGCTGCCGGGAGATGCGTACAGTCTCGGAGACAGTTGAACCTTGCCGGGTGAGTTCTTCTGATCTTCATAGCACTTTAGAGTGTAGTATTTCCTACCGTCATCCGTCTTGGCAACAAAGTCGCTGATTTTGAAGTCCCTCAGTGTTTTCCTGGTACATCGGCAGAGGTAGATCCCCAGGTAGAAGTACACCAGTCGTTGCAGGGCCACCGGGTCGTCCACACTCAGAGTTTTCGTTTCAAACATCTTGCGGATGTCAGACGGTTGGATCGGCGGATACGACTTGCAAGAGTCCATTCCACTTGTCTGCTCGACGAAGATGTTATTGGCGATTTGGAACACTCGGTCTTTCAAAATGCTGTACCTGTGGTTGTGGGGGGGCCCCGTGAGGTGCCTGTGGATAGCAGCTCTCAGGCAGGCAAAGCTTGCCTTGGAATACCGAGTCCCGTCGTCTTTCCGCACATCACTGTAGAACTTCATCAGCAGAAACGCCAACTCTCGGGGTGGTAGTGTCTCAAACTCTGTGTTAAGGCCTTCTGCATTTAGCCATCCTGGAATCACAGAATTGAAAAATAAGTTTTGTTTATTTTTTACTATATTTATTTATAATTAATTAGGCTGTTAATAATGTCGAATAATGAACCTTTCATTCAGTTAAACTTGTTAACCTTTAAAATACGCACTCTTTCAACTTTTAAAAATCCAAAAAGTGTGTTACCATCAATGAAGTATAGAACAAGTAAAAAGTTTGTATCTTTACAACAGATCGGTTGCCCATCCTCTACAAGTGAAACATTCTAAGCTGCATAATCATGATTTCAAGCAAAGACATTATACATGTACATGTATGTCTTTATGTCTTTATCTAGGTCCTGAAGTTATTTCAGTTCATAATTTGTTCAAGATTGGAGAGAGGGAATTGTTTCTCAGCTTCAGATCAGATTTGTCTGTCGCCATCTGGAATAGTGGTATGGCTGACTTAAAATAAGATTTTACAGTAATTGTATTCCTGCTACATTACTTAACATTACTTAAAATAAAACAGAACACCCACCTTTAAAGAGCCTAATGCCCCATCTTGTTGAATTTTTTGTAGTTCCTTTTTCAACTCTCTCCTCTTCACCTCTTTCTCCTTCCGGCTTGTCTATGCACCAGTAGTTAACGGTCACTGCTTGGTCAATCGGATACCTCCTTGGATCTGCTTGGAGATTCACAGTGTCTCCTCCTGGTTCCTACGACCCAAAAATGGTTCTTGTTGTTGTCCTTGCTTAGTGTCTATTATTCCACTAGATCATCAATAGATGTGGTGTCTAGGTACTGGGTTTATCATACTTGCTGCAAAAAGTGATTCCTCCAAATTTGTTTTAGACAGTTCTTGGTGGAAACAAAAACGCCGGCACTGTGTGGTTAATTCTGAACCAAACTCGAACATGGCAGACCAAAAAAAAAAAAGTTTAAACAAGCATGCTAAAACCTCCTTTGCAAAAACCATACATCCATGGATGATTGCATTTATGTACATTGTGGGTGTTGAGAATTGTTGTTTTCTATTCTTCCATTGAAATTTGATGTACAGTTGTAGTACTGTGTGTAACATGAAGATGACAAGGAACTATAAACCAGTGGTTTGAACTGCTGTACGGTCAAAGGTAAGAGTTGCTAACTTGTAAACTGAGTTAATGTCTAATCCTCAAAGCAATAGACCCATTTCCAATTCCCGCAGCCATTTGGAAAAAGTGCTCCTGCAAGAGTACAGTCTATCTAGCATGATTTTGCGTGATCTGCACAAAAGCTAGCTATAGGCTGTGGCTGATAACCCAGTCCAACCTGAAATCCTTCACTTTGGTTCCTGTGCAGAACCCAGCAGTGAGTCATCTCCCACGGTAAGCTGCACTCTTCAGGGATAAAATACTTCAAAAATTATGTTTGTCATGGGTACAAGAACATTGTTGTGGCCATCTGGGATTAATTTCAACTGGTAGAAATGACGAATTTTTACTCATTTTTCGTATTTCCTGACGAGCGTTATGGGGCTTGTTGTTTTCTATTGAAAGCCAATGTTTACATCTTACACACGCATCAGAACCTGGTAGTATTCAAATTCTACCTGAGTTAAACTCCTCAAGAACAGAAAAATAATGGGTAAAGACCCTTGTGGGTAGATAATTCTGCAGATATCAGCAGTTGCTCGGACACGGTGAAAGAAAACTGAACCAAACTCTTGTACATTATGCATGTTACTTTCTTGTAGCTCCATATGATGTACTCTTATTACTTTAGAGAACACAAAGTAAAAGAAAACTGAATCAAACTCTTGGACATTATGCATGTATTTTCTTGTAGCTATGTTTTATGTACTCTTATGACTTGAAGAGATCACAAGATAAAAGAAAACTGGATCAGACTCTCCGACAATATGCATGTATCTCCTTGTAGCTTTCAATTTTGCTTTCATCTGATAGTTTTCAGTTGATTGTATCTAGTACAAATGGTACAATGTATATATACATACATGACAGTTTGCAAAGTGAGATGGCATGTTTTGACAAACACAACAACAAGAGTCATTCTTAACAAGAGGTCCAGGAAAGTTTGTCAGGTATGCACACATGGTAAAGACTTGGTTAGCAAGTTTTGTCATTGTGTGTTGTCAACATATTTCTTCAGATTGTTATTACATTCTTCCTCAACGACTTGCAGTTTTGCTTCTATCTGCCATACACACTCCTTAGAATCCAGGGTTTGGGAGATGTTTGTGTAGCTGTACTTATTTCCGAGGAAGTGAGGAGGCTGTGTCCACTGCTAAATTGCTGTCAATGGTCCTACAGTCTAGCACAGATTCATCCAGTTCCATATACAGGCCTGATCCAGATGCATCCATGGTGGTGTCAAGGTCAGAAGCAGTACCATTTGCTCAAGTGTCCACAGGGGAGCCAAGCTCTGACACAGCAATCTGTTGAGTGAAGAAAATAGCAATGAGTGTACATGCATTTTGCAGAACAGTAATATATGCCATGTAATGCAAGTGTATCTTACAGTTGGGAGACATTCAGAATAACTGACATCCACTTGAACAGAAGTAAGCCAAGTGCATCTTGATGTCTGATGTTTTTATATATAAAAATATGTGCAACACAAAAGTAACACAATGGTGAGTATGCACAATAGGGATTCGTACATACATGTAACATACCTTCTTAAGCCGTTGTCCTTTTACTTTCTTGGGGGGAGGGCACTTTCTCTGTTTTGAAGCTGATCTCCGTGTCCTCTCCAAATTAAGGACAGGTTCTGCCCCTGAAATAAATGCAATATGGGAATTTTTTATCACTGTTACTGTTAGCAACGACAGACAAGACACACAAAGAGTGCACGAATGAAAAGGGTGTGTTTTTAAAACACATGTAATGGTTAAGTTTAAAGGAACGTAGTCCAAAAGTTGACTTACCTTCCTTGAGCCTTGGTCTCCGCAGCCTAAGTCCATTTGGTGACCACCTTAGAATGTCTGAGTCTTTGAAGTGCTTTACACAAAGATAATGGTTTTTGTTGAGAGTAAAATCGTCCCTGCCATTTTCTCCTTTGATCAAAGCAGCCCAACGCTTCAGAGTATCTTTATTTTCAAGTACTTTTTTGGGGACCGAGAAAAGCGTGATCTTTGTTGGGACTATTTCCCCCTCCACAACTATGGTGTCTGAACTGTTACACCCATACACCTTGCAGCTCTTGGAATATGTCCTCTTCTTTGGTCTTCTCTTTGGACAAGAAGTGTTTGTCTGAAAAATGAAGGTAAGCAAAAATGTTATACAAACTAATAATAAATCCATCCTCCATTTGCTATAGAACTCAAATAAATGAACCATACAACAAGATACCAAGGTGGTTCAATCAAACACCATTGAAGATACACGCTCCCCCCCCATGAGTGGCAAAAAATTTAAAACAATATAAAATGTCAATTTTTGGATCAACCAACGAATTGGTTAGAAATTCGAATACTACCAGGTTTTCACACGAGCATAAGATGTAAACAAAAAAATGGCTTTCAAATACAACACTACAAGCCCCATAACACTCATCAGGAAATGTAAAAAATAAGCAAACGTTTGTCATTTCTACCAGTTGAAATTAAGCCCAGGTGGCCACAACAATCTCTCCTACCCATGACAAACATAATTTTTGAAGTATTTTATCACTGAAGAGTGCAGCTTACCGTGGGAGATGACTCACTGCTGGGTTCTGCACAGGAACCAAAGTGAAGGATTTCAGGTTGGACTGGGTTATCAGCCACAGCCCCGCTTTTGTACAGATCACGCGAAATCGTGTTAGACTGTACTCTTGCGAAATAACTTTTTTAAAATGGCCGCTGGCATGGGAAATGGGTCTATTTAAAGACTATGACCATGGAGGTAGTCGTGATTTTTCTACCTCCATGCTATGACTTAACTGTGCGGATGGTCCCGTTCCTTTACAAGTCAAAAGGAACACCCTAAACCTGAGAAAAAAAGCCGGTGAGTGAGCCCACCTTCACAGGTTCTTCACTCTGAAGCTTGTCTTCTTCTTCTCCCATGGAGACATCTACCATGTCCAGTTCATGAGACAACTGTCCTGGGGAGGAGACACAGGGCTCACTGCTCAGGTCTTCACTCTCTGGCTGCTCTTCTTCTGTTGTTTCTTCTGCACCAGGCTCTGTTTTGATTCTTACTGCCAAGTTCTGTGCACGTGTTACATTTGGCTGTGACGTTCCAGACCTGGTGCATGTAGGCCCTATCTGACTTGTTGACGGTTCTGTCGTAGGTTGAACAGTGTTTGAGGAACTAGAAGTCGTTGCCACGTGATACTGTTCGATCGGCTCTTTCTTCACCTGCACTTGTCCCAGGAATGTATCAGTACTTGGAGTCTCGGAGACATTTTTGTCTGCTGCTTGGCGACTACTAGGCGTCTCTTCATTTCCTGTGGGTCCTTGAACGTTTGGTGCGGTAGTTTGATCAATGTTCAGTCCTGAGAGCACTTCACTGCTGCTCACCTCTTCAAGGAAAGAACCGTGCTCGAGCAATGAGCTAGTGTTACTATGGTCGTGCTCGAATGTAGAACTAGGGTTACTACGGCCGTGCTGGAATGTAGAGCTAGTGTCACTAACATCCATGCTCTCATCTCCCTCTGCCTCTTCATACTCTCGGGTCATGACCTCTCTCAGCACATGTTCAAGGTCACCCCGCCCCCTCGGCCGGTCGCCGCCCGCCAGCTTCACCTCGATGTTCCGCCGGTTCAGTTCCGACTGCAGCTCTTCCAGGTGCATCCTGGGTAAGAGGGCAAAGGTCGTCTCCTTGGAGAATCCGAGGACGCTGCCCACTGGTGGAGTTCTGTCCTGTAAGAACGAGTAGAATATCATTGAGTTGTAGCTTGCTTGCTCTAACTAATTAAAATACTAGTAAAGGGCATGTAATTTGTGTCTCTGTCTCTGGTGCTTGTAATTCAATTTGCTTTTCTCTTAGGGTCAGACCAATACAAGCATGCACACACACAGTACTAGTACATAAAGTAGATACACACACACTCAAGTTCAGCACACATACACACACACACACACATACACATTGTATGCAGTCACATCATGTGTACATACACACAAACACAATGTACACATACCCCTTCAATGTCATGATCACCAGCTCCATGTTGTAATTCTTCGCCAGCAGCTTGTGCACTGTCCGAGATACGAGCATGTTTGGCTGCACTCAGTGCAGTTACGAGTACAGCTTGTTGCATGTTGCTTGGTGTAGCAGTAGGCACGGGACGGGTCTGCACTCCACCTAGAAGGATGGCACAAGTCAGGGCAAAGTTTTATCACACAACAATTACAACTGTCACGAACCACTAAACTTGATTACGTAATACAATCTTTGACACCAGACAGACTGCATTAATGTAAGTTTTTGTTATTTACTGCTTATTGAATAAATGACATTAATATTTTGTCATCCAGAATATTTCCAGTTTTGTGATAAGAAATCTTGCAATGGGTGCCTTTATTATATTGTCCATACAATTGCAAAAAGAGCTGGGATGGGTTTAGATAATATTATCATCTGATGACCATCAAACCCATCTAAATATTGTTCTTGCAAATGATACCTCAGCTGCCATGTTGGTGGAGGTTATAAAATAAATCCAAGATGGCGGCCGACAAATTCAAAATGGCGACCGATAAGAAAAAAACATCGTCTGCTGCTCTCTAAAATGAGAATAACCTCACAATAGTTTTGTTATGACGCAAATTTCAGTTAAATTTTGTTACTTTGATGTTTTTCTTCGTTGCTGAGCGCTGCAATCGCTGCTTTTCTTCTCCGTCTCTTTGAGAGTTTAAATCTTCTCCAAGCTCTCTCCTGCGCTCTTTCCTGTGCCCTTTCCTCGGCTTCGCTCATTTTTGAGCGCGTAAGTTTTAGTGTGGGGACCCAGTCCACGCTGGTCCTGTTCCAAGGCGGCGCGGCTTTCCCCGAGACGAAGTGGGCGCCGCAAACGCGGCCATGGACGAGGTTGCTCTCTGTGAGTTTGTCCCGGTCGATGCAAATGGCGGCCAGCCAAAGCCGCCTCCTCTCCTCCGATAGCTGCTGCGCCTCCTCGCCTTGGTTCGTGATGACCGCGGGGATACGACAGAAGGACATTCCTTTTTTCCTCCCACTTCTAAACTCACAACTCTTTATGACACAGTAGGCGGGCATATTGAGTTGTTTTTGCTATCTTAGAACGTCTCTGTTTATACACAAAGAAATGCGCGTACTTTTCCACCAATATGGCCGACACCGAATATGTCACGTGATGGGGTCACCAAAAGGACATGGGAAACACGAGGAAACACGTAACGTGTACATACATACGGCTTATGAGAATCTTAAGTCTTTTATTTCAAACTGTATAATTATATGTCAAGGTCAAAGGTGTGTTATCATTAACTTTGTGTTGTTGTTATTATAGTATAACAACGTTTATATACATGGAATGACTGACTGGGCTATGGGAGAGTGTGGTTGACAAAAGTGACTCTTCTTACCTTGGTGTACCCGTTTCACTATTCGCACCATCACGATCTTCCGTGGTCCCTCCATAGTTCATCGAGAATAGGCACCGGTGGACGCCAAACCTAAAGCCACACACAGACACTGAGCAGAATATACAGCGTGTTCTACATCAACCGTGCTTAGTACGCCCTTTGCTGCCTAAGTAAATCTCCATACTTGATCACCAGATCGTATAAAAGAGAGCTTAGCGCGACCAACGTCAGTGAAATGGGTGAATATAAGCGGAAAATCTACTCTCGCGCGCACCGATTTTATTTGCCGCCTTTACAAATGGCGCCTCAGCCGTCTGACCTTTGACCTACGTGTTCCAGAAAGTGGTCAGTGGGTGCTACTGGGTGCTACCATTTCTGAACATGGGGGTGAGATTAGACTGTTTGACGGCGCATAAAAATTGATCTAATCAAATCGCATAAGACGCACACGAAAACAAACAAAAAATATAAACCAACTGTCAGTTTAAGTATACTGACATTATATCAGAGAGGTTAGTACAAAACAACATGTTTTATTGAAAAAATGACTAAAGCAATAACGCTTAAATCATTATATTAAATTATTAACGAAACAAACATCTTCTATCCCTACTCTGTATCCTTACACTAGGCAACAAAATGGACTGGATATTTCATTGGTTTTTCCATACAAACAGACAACTACTGAAAACCCATTAATACAACGATAATTACTAATTGACTAATTATTAATATAAATAGTAATAGATGGCGGAGTGAATCAAAAGCAGTTCTCCCGTTAATGTCCATAATTGCAGGGCGTGAACAGGCAAAGACACTTCCCTTTTCCATTTCTTTACCACTTCGTCTGAAGCCACGGGAAGAAGAGCATCTCAAGACGCAAAGCGCGGCAGAATCTAGGTAACTGACGACATCTTATCAACTATATGGTTTCGTGTATTCAGTATAAGTAACGCTATGCAGATAAAACCTTTGTTAATAACGGTTCGGTCACATTTGTCGTAAGTCGTCGTACGATTTTGATGCTGTAGACTTTTCGACCGAGCAGTCCGTGACAGAACCAATGTCTGCAAATGTAGAGAGCCTTTTCCGTGACAAGACACGACCGATCTATCATACATACTTGGAGTTAGATCATTTTCATTTATTTAGCAAAGCTGTAACATTGAGCCTATGGGCTTTGTTAATGAATCTTACAACTTTTAATGAATCTTACAACTTTTAATGAATCTTACCACTTTTAAATTTGTGTACATGTAGACATAAAAATGGCGATCAAAATGGCGGAGAACATCCAGGCTCTGTTTGAGAAGTACGACGAGAACAAGGACGGGTCCATCTCGGCCCAGGAGCTGCTGAACGTGGTGAGGGACATGGGACTGCCATGGACCAACAAACTCGTACATGTACGTAACATTACTACCATGAACGTTCATCTGTGTTGGTAGTTACATCAACGGTTTGAAGTTAAAACTTTCGATCCAACACAAAGATTGGTTCTCACCTAGAGCTTTCGACCAGTTACTCTGGTCTTCTTCAGTAGACTAGTACTGACTTTCCAGGTTAGTGCTTCAGTAAAAATCATTATTGATATTTGGATATTGATATTTGGGGCATTTTAAAGAATGATGTACTTGCTGTATTTGACACTTCGCTATGGCAATTCGTTGTCTGATTGGATGGCATCTGATAAGAGGCCTCGAAAATTGTAAAAGCCAAGCTGGTGCAGCAAGGCCGAACCAAAATAATGATTAGGCTGTAATGCAATTTTAGTATATCATAAAGCTTCAACCAACCAGTCATTAACAGTAACTTTATATCACTGTCCATATGACATGTAGGCTATGATCAGGGAGCGCCAGCTCAACGCGGATAAAAAGATGGATTTGTACGACTTCCCTGGAGTTGTGAACGCCCTTAAGGGAATAAAAAAGTCCCTAAACAATCCACGAGAAAGCCAGGAGGCCATGGTGGCGACGTTCAACAGGATTGACAAGGTGCGTGTCCATAATGTGTTTGTCTAAACCATTCTTTATTCATGATAAGCTCAAATTGGAGTCCCTGGCACTTTCCTTTGTGCTGAAAAAGACCTCCCGGCTTTGTATCGCCTTATTTGTGGTAAATGGCTTGAGTTTTTATCTGATTTTGGCTGTTTTAGAACGGAGATGGCTTCCTTATTTGTGGTAAATCTCTTGAGTTTTATGATTTTGGCTGTTTTAGAACGGAGATGGCTTCCTGAGCAGTGACGAGTTGAGGGAAGGCATGTCCAGCATCGTCGGCATGGAGCTGTCGAGCGAGGCCGTGGATGAGTTAGTCCGAGTCGCCGATAACAACATGGACGGCCAAGTCAGCATCGACGAGTTCGTCAGGATGGTCACGAGTTTCTTCTGATGCGTCGCCATGGTGACACACTATATAAGGCAATATTGGTATCCACAAGTGAAGCACGGTCCTCATTGGTTAGAAGTAATAGACGAATCCCATAGCCCCACCCACCCCCATTAAAACGTATTTCTATATCTGCTAGCGCTGCATTTATTTACCAATTATACGTAGCATCATTCCGTGGAATTTTTTTTGATTCAGTTGCTTATGTCTAGCTGTTTCTAGAAACATTCTTACAACATGAGCTTGTTTTTAAATAAAACGAACTTTGATCCCATTGAAGCTTGTGTTTTTGTTTGTTTTTATTTCTCTAAGCAGCTTCGATTTCAGCGCAAAAAAGGCTCATGTATTTTACGGTAGGTCGTGATGTAAATGTCATTGGATGACTAACTTTATAATTAGTGTACTGCTTTATTCGGCCTTGTGAAAAGTGATAATCAAGTTATGAAACGGCCCAACAATGTCCTTGAAGCATCTCATGCTGGTTGGCTGAAACTAGGACTTGAAAATACATGTAGCAGGTGTATAATGTAATAACCGCATGACCGTGCCGTTAAACACATTCTCAGCAACTTCCAGATTTAACCGCCCAACATGGTGGACAACACTTACGTAATAGTCACGTGAGTGCATACAGCCCTATCGTTTCCTAACTACCGGCACCAGGAAAATGGTTGTACATATAAGACATTAGACACGCGACGACGCACGCCATCAGAGTCTTCCCTACAAAAGTGATGGCACCAGACGTCACGCCGGGGGTACAGGTCTGACACTCGCACGTTCTTCCGTCCAAAGCAGGCGCCGTCTTGGTCCAGAAGAAGGTGTGTTTGGGCCGGAGGTTGGACAGGACGGAGCCGGGGGACATGGTGTCGGTAAGGCGGAGGTACTGTCTGGTAGATGGGAGGTACTTGGGCCAGTCTACCGGCAGGGTTGTGTCTGCTGGCGAGTTTGGGTTGCTGGTAAAAGATAAACGTGATTATTAAGCCGTTATAGATACAGCTCTGATAACCAACACACATGTACAGTATACTCTGTATTAACAAAGCTTTACCAAAAGCTTACTATGATTGACACATAATGCGTTGAGGCCTAAGTGAACGTACGCTAAAGCGTTATGATTAAAGGCACGTGGAATCACATGTTTATGACGTAAGCATCGTCAGCCATGTTGGCTGATTACTCCCGGGAGGTGCCAACTAAATTTTAATGCATGTTACAGTCACGTGATGCATATGCAAATTTATCGATAGTTCTCCCTAAGGATCTACCAACCGACGTGGTAGAGACTCTATTTGCATAATTTATGCAAAAATGCACGTCCTACCCTGTCTTAGCGAAGTTGGACCAAAGCGTCATCATGGTCCGCATGAGGTTCTTCTCGCCGTCAGTAGCGCGTTCCAAGAACCCCGACGATGGAAAGATGAAGTTGTAGTTGGTCGCGTGTGAAGCACCGACCCCTGGCGGAAGGGGTGAGTACGACAGCCGGTGGGCGAACTGGTACATGTAGGCCGTATAGTTTCTCTGTACAGAATACAGAACACGGTCGATATTTAGTAAAGTATCAAAGTATCGATAATTAGTGACTAACAGGTCAATAAGTCTTATTCCAAGGCAACGCGTAATGACTTTTAGAATGGTTGGTAATGCTTAAATCGTGGTCATGTTGCTGCAATTTGTTTTATACTTTGTCAAAAGTGTAAAATATAGCATACGGTGTCTCAGAATTTGAAAAAGAATTCAGTAATTGCGAATAAACTTTTTAGGAAATGTACTGGGGCTAAATCGCAAGAGTCTGTTTGAGAAATATCGATTGCACGAATGTACAAATCACACCTTGGAATATAAGTCTGCTTTCTGGACTGTGTTGGCCACGTAAGTAAAATCGCCGTACAGATCTATCAGCGACCTCCTCAGCGACGCAGGGTCTTCCTCATTCCACATGTCATAGTCGTAAGTAAGAGCCTCCAAGACGTCCTGTTATAGTTGAAGAAATGTCAATCACAAAAGATGCAATCTACTGTCTATTATCGTATTAAATATTTAATTTCATGTTGACATAACTGGTAAACGGCCCTTAGACGTATCACATCCAGTTTTGCACAGAAAGTATGAGCTGCCTAAGACCATGCAGACTTTACTAAATACCTTGTACTAGTAACTGCGTGAAGCTATGTACTCATTTTCACGAGGGTCGTGGGAAATAAGTGTTAAGTGCGCCACATATACGCCAGGTTTGATTTACCTCCGTAAAGAATCCTGGCAGAAGCCCCTGAACCAAACTTTTGACCGCCTCTACGTTATCCACTGCTAAAAATCTCGGATCTTCATACAAGTAGCCTCCTTCGTCGTCGTTGCTCCCGAGGAGTACGTCCCTGTTCTCCAAAGCCCCGGACTGGAGGATGTGCAGAGGGTCCTCCGGTATGAAGTCTCCGTCGACCACGGGTGTCCAGTACCTTAGCGGCGGTGTTCCTACAGCACGGATGGAGAAATATCTGATGTCATATATGGACACCAAAATGGGGGTGGATACAGCTACATTTTTGCGTTGCAGTATTTGCGGTACAGTGAGTCATTGACAGTGCTCAACAGTTTTCTGACACCCCCATATGCATGTCTGCTGCAAAAATTGCCCTACACGCTACAGAACACGTTCATGAACCAAGCCTGACGACAGCAAGAGTGCCCAAGATTAAACGTCGGCGTAACCTCACAAGAAATTGGACTATAATATCCAGAGCCGTGCCTATCCAGGTCTATGGCTAAATTGGTTATGGTTTTCCATAGTCTCCGCGTATCCAAGAACTTAGATTTGCCAAATGCACGGTTCTGGATCCTTGTGGACTATCCAGAACCGTGCCTGAGCATGTTTCTGGATACAATGCGATCCTTACCTGTAAATGTAGCGGCAGCGTTGGTGAGTTGGACGGGGTCCGCCGCTCGTAGCTCCGATACCATGGCGGCCGGGTCGTCGCTAGCACAGTTCATCAGGCGGCAGAGGTTTCTGACTGACTCCAGCGGCCGGGGGTTGATCGCACCGGGGCCGATGGACGTGCCACTTTCGCAGATGACGCGGCTGAACAGTCCGTTGTTTATGGGACTCAGCATCTGAAGACTGACCGCGATGGAACCCGCGCTTAAGCCATACACCGTAATGCTGTAGGACAGAGAATACGTCGTAACTTACAGAGAGCTTGAAGTTCAAACGCGTGCACAGGGTTATTATATGGCGGACAAATGTAAAAATTGAAATACATCAACTTTTTAATGTGTAGACCAAATTAATACATTCAATATCCTCTGGTGCTGTCCTTTTAACTGTTCTCTAACTAAAAAAATGCTCTCAACGGTCTTGTCGACTGACTCATTCAGTCTTTGAACCAGTCTCCAGACACACCTCACTCTATGTACTTGTGGCGTCGGAAGGTCGTTGGAAGGCTACATATGTATCGCCCCCCGTCCCGGCTGAGAGACGGCTTCGCATGCATGGTATTTGGAGTATAATTAGGTCTTGGTCTACTGATCAAAGAAATAAGTAGGATGTGATCCTCCTAGCGTCTTTTTTTGGTAATGCAGTAGAATTTTTGTATACGTACAGAAACTTAAAGCACACCCACCTGTCCGGGTCCCCGCCGAAGTTGCGGATGTTGTCCTTGACCCACACGATGGCTGCCCGCTGGTCCATGAGCCCGAAGTTTCCCGGCGAGTTCCGGTCTCCCGTACTGAGGAACCCGAACACGTTCAGACGGTAGTTCAGCGTCACCACGATGACGTCACCAACGGCAGCCAACCAGTCCACGCCTTCCATGTTGCTAGCAGATCCGAATTGAAATCTAACGGGTGTCATGGTTGGATAAATCACTGTTAACACGTTTTCTCTTGTTGTTACTCTCGGGTTTGGAGGTATTGTTTTGTTTATGTGTGTTTGTTGTGTGTTCGTGCACTCGAGTGACAACACGTAGGTGTAGGAAGTTCCATAACCAAAGACCACAAAAGACAAAAAAAAAAAAAAAAAAAAAAAAAAACAAGAAAAAAGCACACACAACCAAAACAATAACTGGGGGTAATGACAGGCAACAAACCCGGGCGTTACCTATAGCCATTTGAAATCAATCCCACATTATATAGTAACCTTCATGTATACGTAGACATGCAACCTTACCATAGACCATGTAATTCCTCATTGTATGTCTTTCATGTATGCTCACCTTATGTATATACAGTACTACGCACAGGTATGGGTTTGCAATAAACTATTACTATTAATTAGTCAAACGAACCTTTAAACAACGTAAAAAACAACAACGAAAAACTCTACGCACGCTCCGCCGTGTATGTAGACCATCACTGACAACGCCGCCGCCTGCCCAACTTGACGAGGGACGTACACGTTCAGATACAGGCAGTCTTCCGACATGGGCCCGCCTGGCGAGGTCTGGACGCACTCGCTACCGAAGACCGACGCGTTCCTCACGCCCTCCCACGGCTGTACGGGCCGGGGAGGGGCGAAGCGGAGGCTGTCTGTCGGCGGAGCGGCGAAGGGAACCCCCAGGTAGTTCTCCACAGTCCGCCCGTCGGCTGTACTGGTGAATCCCGCGATCTGACCGGACGACGTGGTTCGGACGGGAGTGTCCTGAGTCTGACCAGAAGCGGCGGCCAGGAGAACAACCACTATCACTAACAGAAATGTAAATCGTGCGTTTTCGTCCATTTTTTAGTACAGAGCACTGGACTTTGGCACTAGTACTGGTGCAGTTACTCGATCAACGTGTGATTAAATAGTGGCCGTGGCTTGAATGTAAACAAAGCAGTCCATGTAACATGCAAACATGTCAGCCCCTCCCAATATTATACTCGGAATTCGTTCACAAGTCGGCTGTGTTAAAACGTAATGGTTGTCTTTTGGTCGTAGAAAAAAAAAGACATCAGACAGCGACGAAAATTAAAAACGTGTTAAACAATTTGATGAATGAAAAAAATCACTCGAAATTTTGGCCGTGTTTTTTGGTCTTTGTCTAACTCTATAATTTGAAGGTCTGACTCTAAAAAATGTACAACACCTTATACTTTTTGTAGCTTTCAACTGCTGATGTTGCAAGGCTACTTTATAGATAAAGAAAAACACAAACGACTTGAGACGTATGTGAAAATTTTATTTACTAAATCAACTAAAATCACAATGTATGACAGACATCATTACTGCAATGTATGGAAGTTCTGGCTACCCTAGTCCTCTTTTTCCCCCCAACAGCCAGCCTAGATGAAACCGATTTGAACCAGTCGAAACCACATAAGTAACACGACCAGGCCACATGTATATTACTACTATATAGCCATCGTATGCCTCTATCCTTACTCATGTATATTGTCCATTGTTCTTTGCAATACCTTCTTCAGATACAGCCCATGTTTTCTGAAATAATAAAATAGGTTCGAGATGATTTTTCCAGTGTTTTGAACACTTTTAGAAGTACTGTACAGAATAAATAGATTTGTGGAGTTTGTTACTACACTTGTGACTCGTGCTATCAGCTATCATGTCGAATATATATGAGCTCTATGCCATTTCAAAATGTTATAAATGTGATGATACAACAGATAAAATGGTTCTTTTGCACGCAAAGCTCAAGTTAAAAGCGACATTCACAAAGATATGACGGTAGTCTGGGCCAGCTGTTGGAGAGGGTGGTTCAAAAGTCTTGCGCCGGATGCTTTCTCTGCTCGGTCAGGACTTTCGCACCACCCTGTAAATGATATATACCAATGCATTGGCAACGCCCCTGGGGTGTCGCCAAAAAATTCCACTATCTGTGCATTTCTGAAGAAGGATGTACAACAAGGTCTAACCCTACTTTGTGAACAATAAGGTCGTGAATTTTTTATGCCAAACGTTGATTTTTGGTCCAAGAGGTCTTCATTTTGTTTTCATTTTAGCAATTTCAAGGCAAACTAATTTCTCTCCATGCCTTCTTGTACTTATCTTCAGAAGTACACAAGTACAGAAAAATGTACATAAGATACAGACAACTGTGGGTACAAGACGACTTGCAGTATACTAGGACATCCCTTACATAAACATTACATTTGGATTCATGAATTTCTTTCTTGATTATCAACCTCCATGGCCTTTATAACTTATAGTATTTTCTTCTTCGTTCACAATGATGTAATGAAGAAAGAAATTCTCTTTTGATTAGCAATGGATCGAAATTCAAAACCCTTATTAACAGTGCAACACTGACCAGCTTTTTTTCTACAAATACCGTTTCTTTCACTATTGCAAGTGATGTTTGCAAACATTCAGTAAATTAATAAAAGTGTCCCTTTGGAGCTGTGATAATAATATTATTAGTATGATTTTTTAAATGATTTATTTCGTTAAGGTCCAGAGTGTGTACTGATTTGCACATCGGGTCAAAAGTATCAAAACATAAGGAATGTCCTTTTTACTGAAAACTGAAGAATGTCAAAGTACATATGTGCTCTAGTAGGATAACTGATCATAGCAGATAATTTGTACCACAGACCATTCACCAGAGGTTAACTGAACCAAGCAGATGATTCGCACAACTGTACATTCAGTATCACTTTGAACGAAATGTAACTTTATTATTTTTTTAAATTGGCATTAAGCTGACCAAGAGAAAGATTTAGGAATGAAAAAAAATATTGCTCATGTTATGAATTGTCAACATTTGGCAGTAGAATGTTTTATTTTGGAAAAAGAAACTTCATTGAAGTCAAAGTCACAAAAAGCCCACAAATTTAAGCCCCAAGCACTGCTAACAAAATTGAAGACTTATTCCAGATATATCTATTAGAGTATGTAACAAACATACTGATAATTTGTATGTTATGTTTGTGGACACTGTTTATCATAAACAAAATAGCTGTGATATGCAACCGCAAAACCGTGTGATTTATTAAACAGGAAAAGTCATTCAAATTAACATTGAGAAAGAAAAAAAAAACATAAATCTTTATTTGAAATAACAGCAGGTCTTCATGCAAAGAGGGGGTGAGATATTCCAGTGGGTTAGTTTGGGAAAATGTGCCTTTCTTAAAACATTATCACATTCGTGTTAATATTGGCCAACATGAACTATTTGCTCAGTCCACAGGGAAAAGAGTTGGGAGCTTCAAAACCATCATAAGTTGTCATAGTTAATAATGTTAAGTACAATGTCATGCTAACTCAGTCTGGAACTACTTCTAGCTTAGGAACTCTATACACTAAAACTCAAGACTGTTCTGCTTTTTTCTTAACTTCTTGGAGCTTCTAAAAAGGCTCTCAGATAGCTATAGCTTTCTCATCCCATTGTACTTAGAAGCAATGTTTGAGAAAGAAAGTAAAAAGGATTCGGGGGCCACGTACTATCTTTTCTACTCTTTATGGCCAATGGCAACATACGTTTATTTCCTACGGTGTTCAACAACTAGGCCATGAGATATCTACTAGGAATCTACCCAAGAAATGTACATGAATTGTTTTTTTTTTTAGTTTAGAGGACAGTATGTCTATATATGGCATTGTGTGGGTGGGGTCTACTTGCTGGCCAATTCGTTAGATAACCAATCAAGTCCCTCGTACAGTCCGGTCCCTTGTGTCGCACACGTTGATTGGATGTACCACTGAAAGGAGACAACAAAATGGAAGTCAGAAGAAAATCTATGATCTTTACTAGAAACTTTAAATTTAAAGGTACATGTAACATTTGCAAAGTAAAGCTCTGTTTATTCTTACTCAAACACATTCATTCATATGGTGACACAAGTCCATCTCTGTCTTGCCACTTGCTACATAATGTGCTCCAGCACCATAGGGCATCTGCTACACCGGTTACCATGGTGATGGAAGTCTTGTCCAGGTCAGTGACATTAATTGTTCGGAGAAGAAGACACAGAAAAAGCAATGCTTTCCTGCTGCAAAGAGGTTAGATTTGACAATTAAATATTATCCAAATGTAGAAACTTTTGACTTAACTTCCTGTCAGTGTCCCTTACATGCTTAATATGTGGAAACAAATAAGGAAGCACAAGTAAACACACATAGGGGTCACACCAAAAATAAAACATCTGTATATGAATGTAATAAGTTCAAACTTGGCCTGAGATAAAAATGGTACTGACTTTTCTGTTGCGAAGGTCCTGAAGCTTGAGATTCTTTTGGATATCTGCTACTGACATGGCGTTGGGCAGATCCTGTTTGTTGGCAAAAACCAGCAGCACGGCATCTCTCAGCTCATCCTCCCCACACTGACAAACAAACAAACAAACATACAATGTCAGGCAAAGAAGTTCTTACAAAGTGTTAGTGTCTCCTGGGAGGACCACATGACCATCTCTATGCTCTACGGTGACCTCCCCAGAATCTCTGATGAGGTCAGGAAATAGAGAATGGAGATAGCTGGACACCTGACATCCTGAGCTGCTAGCCAGCTGGCTTATCCTGTAAGAGCCAGCAGAGGAAGGGAGGAGAAGGGGGGAGAATAGAAACAACCTTCGTTGACAACCTGAAGAGCCCATCCCTCTTCTTCCAATGCCTTTTAACTCCCCAAGTGAACCCAGTGGTCGAAATACTTTTTTTCAGTGCTCTGCAATATTGCAGAAGAGTCAAAATTATGTTCTGCAATTTGGAAATACTTTCTGCAAATACACAAGCCTCCATACTACAATTTTGCAGGTTTATAAGCATGAACTATTGATTGATATGCAAATTAGTGAAGACAAATTTTTGGAAGTAAAAAAGGAAACAAAAAATAGACAAGTCCAGACAAGGATGATGCAAATTAGTGAAGAAGCTCCTGTTGTTCCACTTTCAGAACAGGAGACTGTCCTTGGGGCCAAGACCGCCAAATCCCAAGTGCCAATTTTTCCTGCTGCAGAATTGCAGATTGTATAAATTTTTGTTCTGCAATCTTGAAAATCTATCTGCAGATTGCAGACTGCAGACAGGTATTTCGAACACTGGAACCATATTACCATTTTGTAACTTTTTACCAAGGTAAGCATTTATATTAATGATTAATTAACAAACAAGACTTTGCTCCATATATCAATGACTGACTTGTTTCATCCACTGCTTTTGACCTTTGTCCAGGTCTTACTAGTCTAAGACTTTCTCCTCCTTTTAATAGTCTTACCAGGGTAGTTTTCTTTGGGTGCCAAAGTGTTGAAATTTGAGGGGTTTCTATGGCTTCCCTATGAAATTTGCAACTTTTTTCCTCACCATTTTGTCCAGCTCTTGTTGTGCCTCTGCCATCCGCTCCCTGTCATTACTGTCCACAACGAAGATCAAACCCTGCAGGGGAAAAAAATGATGATGAGCAACAGGAAACAAAAACATGTGTTCAAATGATCAGCAGTTCCTTTCACCTCAGTCTTCAACTGAAGGCCTTATTTTGAGACATTTTCAACAATGCAGAAGAAGAAAACCAACCTGCAATTTTGCAGACTGAATAAATCAGGCTAGGGGTTGTGTCAATTCCAGACGTGCAGTGCAAACAACATACCATGCTCCTTAGCCCAGGCACTACAGTGCACAATGCAGATTTTGCTTCAAAGTTGCTCCATTTTTTATTGGGAAATGCTCTATTGGGCTTGTGTGTTTGCAGAAAGTACTTCCAAATTGCAGAACAAAATGTTGACATTCAGTCTACAATATTGCAGGACACTGATCATGAAAAAAGTATTTTGACCACTGCACTTTCATTTCTCACCTGTGTGTTCTGGAAGTAGTGTCTCCACAGTGGGCGGATCTTGTCCTGGCCGCCCACGTCCCACACTGTGAAACTGATGTTCTTGTACTCCACTGTCTCAACATTGAAACCTAGCAATGGGTAAAACAACACAAAAACAACATCAAGAAAACAGAACATGGAAAGACAATAAAACAAGCAAAGATTTACAACCAGTCCGAGAGTGTATTGTATATGTAAATATGATGATAATATGATGAAGGGGCAGTGGGTTGGTGAGAGCCACCCAGTGTTTAGGGCACAGTATGGAAAGGTGGAGCCCACTTTTTATTGGTCACAAAATTTTTGGACACAAAAAAGTTATGGACACAAGCAATGCTGCATTAAGCATTTGAGTCATGACTGTGATATTGCAAATTTACACATGTAACACTATGATACTGACCAATAGTTGGAATGGTGGTAACGATTTCCCCCAGCTTCAGCTTGTACAGGATGGTGGTTTTTCCAGCTGCGTCCAGGCCAACTGGAACAGAAACAACCACAAGTCAGAGGCTATTGATAAACAATGGGTATAACTGAATGGAAGAGAACTGCGTTGATACATAATAGGTGTTGTGGGAAAGAAAATGGAAAACATCCATCTGACTACACATGTGGGATTGTGTGTGTGTGTGTGTGTGTGTGTGTGTGTATGTGTCTGTGTGTGCACTGTGCACACATGTTCACCACAGTACCTGTCTATATCTATACATGTTATCTTAACTTCATTACATGGTACTGTCTGTGTGAGTGTATGTGTCTTTAATTGTGTGTGTGTAAATTTATTGTGCATGCATATATGTACATTTATGTGTGTAACTTTCAGTGTGTATTCATCTGTATCTCTGTGCACTGAATTTTATATACATGTGTGTGACCATATGTGCATTTGTGTGTAGTTGACTTGTCTGTGTGTACAACTGTGTGCTCATGTGTGCCATCTACATTAAACCTCCAAGTCACACAAGGTCAGAAGCAAATTAATGTCAGGTTATTTTGCATGAGTATCCGTCTATTCAACTATCGGAAACCCAATGAGGTGCATGCATTAGCATGGCCAATTAGATCAGCCCTGACATTTGAGTAAAAGGCCTTTGGTCATTTGCAGTGCATGCAAATTGGGATGTGACACTTTTAGGGTTAATCTGCATTTATGACTATATGAGTCACTTTGCTGTTAGCTTAGGCATGACACACCTTGCCTCTACCAGGCTTCAAAGGTGACTGGAAAGAGTAGAAATTGGTTAGTCTGCAAAAGGAGTGCAGTTTGCTGCTTCTGAAGCCTGGTAGAGACTCTAACACACCAACTCCTAATGCTACATCCAAACTTTGTACTATTTATATGATTGTTTTCAAGGTTTTTCCATGAAATTGAAAAGATCCCTGTTGTCTTTGTGCATTCACTGTAATGTCATGAGGTTTTTCTTCCAGTTTCTGCATAATTTGCTGAAGTCTATGATTTTGGATGGAATGTTGAGCTTTATGTTGTACCTACATGTATGTAAAGAAAAAAATGTGATAAGGCTAATTAAAGGCTATACATTGTACAAAAATTGATAAGACTAGAGTATCTGGACAAATGTATCTATGTGTTTAACAGAAGTTGGCATTGGCAATGTACATTGAAATGAAAAAAAAAGGAACATAATACCTTGACCACACCTGAAATATATGAATAAATGCATGCATATAATTTTGACCTAATACCTTATGGGAATTAGATGAAAAAATTGAATTCAAATTGAGTACATCTGGTCCAAACCGAAAGGGATTCAAAACATTTATTTTCTTCTTGAGCTGAAATAGTTTTGAAATGAACATATTGCAACTGTGGCACACTTCTATGTAACGTTAGAAGTATCTGACTCAAGAAAATAGGGTTAGTATACATGTATGTCTATTTGTCACTCGTGGTAATGCATAAAATTTTATACGTGATCATATTGCCACGTATTTCAAGAACTATTTATGCCTATCTTGTTTTAAACCAGACCTGACTAGAAGCGGGACCAGATTAAAAAATTACGCGTTTACATCCGAAAAAGATTTTTAGAAAATATTTAAACGTTTCTTTCATAGTGCTTATTTACTCGTGATCAGCCTTTGTCTAGTTTGTTTGCTCCTATTTCTTCGTCATTATATACAAGCCTCAAGAGATATTCTAACAGAATCTTGAGTATGAAATGGATATTATTTGAACAGACTGGCTGCCGCACTCATATATCATATATAATTTTGCACAGGTTGGAATTTGAAAGCACAGTTTGACGCCATAAAAATTTGACATACATTTTTGTCCAAGCCTTTTTTTCCACAAATCCATCGACAATACAAATGAAATGAGTCCTATACTATATGTGAGTTTAGAAAATGTTTTATATGGCCAAAAAGCGGTGTGGAAGAACAAGGAAACAGAGAAGACTTACCCATCAAAATCCTCATCTGCCTTTTACCGAACAATTTTGTAAAAAGGGTGCCGAGACTGAGACCCATGGCTGAACGTTGCTTCCGGTTGCTTTCTTCACGCTTTACGCAAAAATACCACTTGTAAAACAGGCGAACGTCGTGAAGATGTCTTCTCTGTGGTCTTATCTGTGCGACTGGACCAGAGTTGGGGGTTTTTATGAGGAAGTTTTGGGTGAAAATCGCCGGGAAAGCCCGTGTGTTGGGAGATCGCTGCCACGTCAATTTGGTGCACGCAAGGAGAAATGACGTCACTCGCCAATATGGCGGGCACCGGTCCTTCCCATCATCCCACGGGCGGGAGCAACCAAATATCGAAAAGGGGAAAAGCCCGAAATCTTTGAACCCTTGATGGAAGCCATATGAAATATAATGTTCAAGCAGATATAGGATCCGGCAAATCTTTTGCTAGGCCACAATAAAGGTACTAGTATTTGAAATCTATAGCTGGAAACTTGCAAATAGATAGATTATGGCCAGAATAATGCATTGAAAACAAAGTTCATGCAAAAAAAAAAAAAGATGGTGCGTGAACCTTTGTCTTTTGCCAAACAATGACAGTACAAAATCCCTTGTCACTTTTGATCGCATTAAAATATGGGTGTAAAGACGGGCCTTTTTAAAGCGCAAAAACATGGGTATGTAACATCGAATCTGGTCCTACATCTGCATTTACCGGGATCACGATTATTACCTTCACTCCAGCTAACGGACTAAGCATCCAAAATATCCAATTAATTCAGCTATGAACTTATCAATTAAATATGTAGCAATAATAACAAACTTTTAACAAACATTCACACCAGGCAACTGCATCGTACGTGTAAATTTAGTATATAAAATCCGACTTCCTGTAATTGTAAATCGACGCATAACGAACGCTAGTGAAACAATTCCCTTTCACGTGTATACCTAGGTGGTTATTAAATTTGACTTTTAAATTTTATTTTTCCTCATTACCAATTAAAGATATGTTTCATCACGGGCATTTGTATATACAGACTGTCCGTAATCGAAAGGACGCAGTGCAACAAATTAATATCCGTCCATGTGTAAGTGACAATTGAAATGACTTTCAAACTTTCCAGGCCGTACAAAGATATGTTTTATAAAAGAATCAAACTTCTCAGAATAATTCATAACTTTTTTTTATTTTAAATTGCAATTGCACAACACGTGTAAATGTAGCATTTCCGTCCATGTGTAGGTGATAATTATAACTAAAGTGACTTTCAAACTTTCCCTCATTTCCTACGATTTCATCAAACAGTCAAACTTTTCAGAATAATTCATGATAAACTAATGCAAAAATATAATTGGCAATTGCACAATATCCGTCCTGCGTAGGCGGTAACTGAAATGACTTTCAAACTTTTGCCCATTACTGAGCCGGATGTTTCATTAAATGAACATCAACTTTCTCAGACAAATTTGTCACAAAAAATACAAAACATTGGCAATTCTACATCACTTAATTGGCACGTGAGCACTTGTTATAGAGCAGATTCAGTTTGACAGACATGCAGCCACTCTTTCCCATTGGTTGAACCGCTCATTGCCACGATGCCATTGGTTTAACTGTTAATTGTGAGGAACAGTCAGGATCGGTCTACCGGTACCAGTCAGTCATCAAGATGCCGCGAAGCAAGATACTGGTGTTGTTCCTTCTGCTCTCCGCACATTTACATGTCGTGCTTGTTGCAGCTGAATGGGGATGCCCAGACGGCTGCAATGCCAGTCCATGGCCAATCCGTATCTGTAACTGTCCTTCCGACGGACACGGGAAGCCGTGTAGCTGGGTGGGGCATGACGGGACTACCTACCGCTTCGACCGGTGTCTGGACGCCGTGCCAACCGGCTTCCACCGGGAAACTCGATCCATCAAGCTTGCCCATCTCCGCTCGTCTACTCTCCCGGATGGCTCCTTCCCAGACACCCCGAAAATTCCATATATAGAAATCAAGCAGTCCAACGTCTCCATCATACAGCCTGGGGCCTTCCGGGGTCTGCAGTCTGCAATCGTGCTTTGCCTTGTGGACAACCGCATCTCCAGTCTCGGTGAGTTGAAGGAAGCCCTCTAGATCTGGCTCCTTGATTAAAAGTGTTATTAAACCTGTATATGTAGTTTGTCTTTCCCGTAAACAAACAAATTATCCATGCGTTTGCTGCACTCAATATATTATTTATGCACACCCTAAAGCACGTATATCAAATGTAAATGTAATAATAGGTAGCGGTTTGGTGATTTGGCCGACACTGGTTTATGAGGGTTGTATGTACGTCGTCCTCAGCAGCAAGGATTGAAAGTGAGTGGGCGGAGATAGGGGTTCAGTTGATTGACAGGGTCGTGGGCCGGTGTGACCGGGTGGGATGGGGTATGGGGCTGCCAGGAATTTGTACTGTGTAATCATGGTGTGAAACACAAGCCATGGTGTAATAACATCATGCAATCGTCTGAGTAAGAATCCATTCTATGATAAATGAATCTGATATTTCCAAATGATCATAAAACACTGTCCTAATACATTCACAGAACAGAAAACACCGATTTCTTGTAATGAAGTTCTTTTTTTAGCAGCAGTAATTGTTGAACCATGTATTGTTTCCCTTCAGGACCTGACACTTTCATGGGACTTGAAAAACTAGAATCCTTGTACCTCGACAAGAACGTGATTTCCAGCATATCTCGAAATGCCTTTCGTGGCCTTCCTAACCTTGCACAACTGAAGCTCTCCCAGAACCACCTGACGTCGGTGCCAGTCGAAGCCTTCCTGCTGCCACGGGCATTGTTGCTAGCAAACCTGACAAAGAATCGCATCGCTACCATCCACAGCAACGTCATGCGCCTGAATCAAAGTGACCTGCGTGTTATCGTGGACAAAAACGACCTGCGATGCGACGAGAACCTGACGTGGTTCATCTGCATCCTGCCCCGCCTCCGCCAGATTCGTCTTAACAACTTGACGAAGTGCGTTTCTCCGGCCGAGCTCCAGGGATTTCCACTCGCTACCGTAAGAAACAACATCTGCAAAACTAACACCGCCAGGTCACCGGAGGCGTACAACAAGACCATTTCCATGGAGCCGGCCTCCACACAGCAGACCCACACAAATGTCGTGTCAGCCTCTCAGCACACAACAGAGATGGACCGTGCCATTGTTCTTGGGGGAGGTCCAGCCATCATCAACAGGGATGTCAACAGAACCTACACCATAGCCGTGATCAGTGCTGTTGTGGTTCCCCTCCTCTTCGTGTTGTCGCCATTAGGTGTCTTCTTCATCTACAAACGCTGGTGTGGCCATGGCGAAGTTTTGGCCCGTCAAGACCGACCGACTGAAATGCAGGAATCTGACCGGAACCCCCAAACAGGCGGCCCTCAACCCACCCCGGCCCAAGACCAGTCATCAGGAGACAGTGAGACTATCCAGCCATATGCAGTGGGCTTCGACGGCGGCCAGGGACCAGATTCTGAGATCCAGCCATACGCAGTGGTCTACAAGAAAGACCAAGAGCAAAACGACATCTGTGCGATCCCCCTGTATGGAATAGACTGTCCAGACACAGAAGCTACTGGAAGTCATTCAGAGGCAGATTCTTCCCAGCAGGAAAACACCCTCAGCCAACCGGCAGCTACCGCCCTCAACCAACCGTCAGCAACCCTCATCCACCAACCGGCAGCAACTGTCATTAACCAACCGGCAGCAACCCTCATCAACCAACCGGCAGCAACCCTCATCAACCAACCGGCAGCAACCCTCATCAACCAACCGGCAGCAACCGTCATCAACCAACCGGCAGCAACCCTCATCAACCAACCGGCAGCAACCGTCATCAACCAACCGGCAGCAACCGTCATCAACCAACCGGCAGCAACCGTCATCAACCAACCGGCAGCAACCGGCAGCAACCAACCGGCAGCAACCGGCAGCAACCAACCGGCAGCAACCAACCGTTCAATCAACCAGAGTACCCGTCGCTGCCGTCCTCCGCGGACACGGAGCCAAACTATGAGGACGAAGAGGAGGCAAATGACAAGAATCCCGCACCAACCAGCCACGGCAAAGGTCCTTACGGAGTGAAGGAAGAAGAAAAACGCAAAGGCGCGAGCGGGATCTACAGGACTGACCAGCAGGGTGCTGTTGCAGAAGCGTACAGCACATCCCCGTGACATCATCTACAGCCGTACTGTATACAACCGGAACAAACCGGCCCACAAAAGCTAGAAATCCCTGCCGATCCAAAAATCTAGAAAAATTCGACATTTTCCAAACCCTTTAACCTGTAGCCTTATGAAAATAACAACTTGAACATCCATGCATTGGACAAAGAAGGACATCCAGAAATGTAAAGCATAGTTTAGAAATAATTTGAGAGTTTCGGACAGTTCAAATCGGGATACAAGTAATGCGTGAAAGCTAGACCCACTTTGATCCCCCTACCATTGAGTTTAATCGGAGTCGGTATATATAGCTTTCATGGCGGATGAATTCCAGGATTGAGGACGTGTACATTCGGTGTTACATGTATTTCCGTCCGTCTTGTGATGTGTTTGTAAGCATAACATAGCAATTATACTAGACAATCAGTTTGCATAAGGAAAGCCCTTTAAAAGAACAGTCAACTTAACATGTTATGCACTATACATGTAATTCGTAAAAATTCTTTCTTGCTATCTTATGCAAAGTTTATTGATAATATAACTTGCCCTGTTTCGAAAGACATATTATGGTATTCGAAGTTATCTCAAGAAGCGAGAATAAGTTGAATCTGTGTATACTAATGTATACATTTGATACTGTGTATATGTCACAGGGGAGATTGGAATCCAGGGGAATCCGGAACTCCCCTAGGGGAGATTGGAATTCTGATTTCCCCTAGGGGAGATTGGAATCCCAATCTCCCCTAGGGGAGACTGGAATCCTCCTAGGGGAATCTGGAATCCTCCTAGGGGAGATTGGAATCCTGATATTCTGATCCCAGATTAGTAGTAGAAATACTAGAACTCATTCTTTTTCTGCCCAACACTGCTGATATGCTCTTCAACCAATCTGTAGAATTCTGCTTTCTGCTGCTGTTCATCCTCCGCCATGACTTGATCAGTATGCTGTCACTTTGACTGGCTTGGCATGGGGAACAATCCCTTATATACCAAGTCACTAACTAACTGGAAAAACTGGTTTTTGATTCACTATCTCACAATGGCCTGATGCAAATATCTGAGTCTGATTTACATATTCACTTACCTATGCTGAATTTGATTGAAAGTTTAGGTGTGAAATAATTCAGTCTATTTTCCAAAGCATTTTGATGCAATCAGAATTTCTCCTTTTAAAATTGGAGATTGTAATAATTCCCACTTGTCCTAGGGGAGATAGATTCCAATCTCCCCTAGGGGAGATCGGAATTCCAATCTCCCCTAGGGGAGTTCCGGATTCCCCTGGATTCCAATCTCCCCTGTGACATATACATTACCTGTGTATACTGTGAATACACCACATTCTTGTATCGATATCATCCTGACATCAATAATTAAATATCTTTCATTCAGTATCATATTCTGACTGAAACACGTCTTTTGATTTGCATTTTGTCTAGAAAAATTGCATGAAATGTCAATGAAAGTCTATGAAAAGCAAATGTAAAAGAACGTGAAAACAATACAGGGTGTTTTCCTGTTTTTCGTCGGCATAATGTATTTTGCCAGCGCAAAACCTGTTATGTGCATAGCAGAACGTCTTGTCTAAGGTCGTATGCGTATTCGCGTATGTATAAGAATGACACCCCAGCTATAGTTTTCATATGTTGTGTCAGAAATGGTGTCGGATGCAACATGTAGACCAAACATCCAACAGTAACAGATGAAAAAAATGACGAAACACCTGAAGTGAAAGAAAACTTGCACAGGATAATTGATCGGTAGGTTTAGTAACGTAGTACACAATCTAGTTTCTCGGTGTCGCCACCAGTTTGAAGGGCACGGGGGAGTGCGTGGCCCCGAACACCCCTTCTTCGGAGGGTTCACTTGAGCCCTCTGGCAGCTTGAAGCTGAAGCGCTGCAGCAGAGAGGTGAAGAACAGGAAGAGCTCCATCCTGGCCAGCTGTTCCCCCAGGCAAACTCGACGACCTGCAATGATGAAAGGAGCACTATATAAAGTTTGATCTTTAAGTTTATGCTATCTACCCAAGAAAATATGCAGTTACTCAAGTACCTAAATAGATTTAGAAAACTTCCACATGTTTCAAGTAGCATGCACTAGCAGCCACTGACGAAAAGTAGTGGATGCTAGCTACTTGAAACGTCTGACAATTTTCAAAATCTATCCAGTTGCTTGAGTAACTGCTTTCTAGCGTATCTATTCTCGTTATCTGGATATCTAACCTCCATCGACGTTACATACCATCTACTTCACATTCTGTACGTATAAACTCACCGATGGAAAACGGCATCACTTCTTCCCTCTTCACAAACTTCCCGGCGGCGTCCAGGAAACGGGCGGGGTCGAACTTGTGCGGGTCCGGCCACAGTCGAGGGTCGTGGTGAACCGCCCAAAGGTTTGCCTGTACGATGGTACCCTGTCATGACAGTCAACATGTTTTGAACTGGCAGAATAATGTCACAAGGACGAAGCAGTGCTGGGAATCTGTTTCCACTATTCGCGAATCTGCGGTATACGTAGCAGACAACATTACAAGAAACAACAGCATCCTTGACCCACTTGCTTGGCTATGGCCTGGCGTACCGGCATGCCACCAGCCCTAGTCAACCGTCAACACCCAATCACGTCGCCGCCTACGGTCAATGGGCAACGTGATTGCCTAGTAACTTTTCCTCTACCGAACGTAGGTAACCTGATTTTTTTTATGTCTGGTCAGCTCTAACCCATCGAGAAGCATGGACACTATAGTAAGGGCCTTTCCCTGGTACGCACAAGCGTCGCGGGTCTGACTGACTCAGTGCCCTACCTTAGGAATGTTGTAGCCCCTGAATGTAACGTCGTTGCTTGTGGTGTGCGGTACGGAGAACGGAGCGATGCTTGCCAGTCGGCTCACCTCGGTCAGCGTTGCCTCGGTGTACGGCATCTATAACAAACAAAAGGCCATACATCATTCACTTCTTCAGAATTCACTTCTTCAGAACACCCAGAAAAAACAATATCTCCAAGGTAAAACTAGTCCCTTCCTGAGCGCGATGCGCCATGGAGGGGTCCCGGTCCGGCCCGATGACGCTGTCTATCTCCC